GGTGCTGGCCGACGTGAGCTACCTGATGGCCATGGAGAAGAGCAAGGCCACGCCGGCCGCGCGCGCCAGCAAGAAGATCCTGCTGCCCGAGCCCAGGTGAGGTCGCCGGGCGCCCGCGCCCCGCTCCCGGGGCAGCCCGGCCCCCGAGAGCCCCGACCCGGAACCCGGCCCGCAGCCACGACCACCCCGACATCAGCACCCCCTCTGCCCGCCGCTGCCCCCCGACTGGGTCCCCGGCCCGGCGCACCGGGACGCAGGGCCCTCGCACTCCCAGCCCCGCGGGCTCCGCGTCCCACGGCCCACTTCGCGGCCCCTCCATCTGTGACCCCACACTCCTGCCTTCCCCTCTTCATCCTCCTCTGGGCCGCGCGCCCTGGGGCACCCTGGGGTCCCCTGGCCTGCCTCCATTTGCCTGGCTGCCACTACTGCCACCCGTGCTCTGGCCCCCGTCCTCCCAGCACCCTTTCCATCCCTGCCAGCCGAGAGGTTGGGGTGGGGGGCAACAACTCTTCGGGGCTGCTTCTCCACCGTCTCTTGGGGGCACCGTCCAGGCTTGGGTCTGGGAGAGCTTTTGGCCACGCGTGTGTGCTGGGGGTGGCATAGGTGCATGGTGGCCAGGTGGGCTGTGCCCAGGTGTGTGTGCACAGGGGGGGACCACTACTGCACCTTTCCCGTCTTCCGTGTCACCCCGTGTGCGCTGTATCCTGGTGGGTGCTGCCCACCAGGGCACATCCCTGCACCCCTGGAGCAGCTGAGCAAGGGCTGCCACCTTGTAAGACAGTTGCTGGTGTAAGTTCAAACTTTCAGGTTGTAGGTTCAGGCGTGTACGGGATACGAGGGCTGGGTGCCCAGCCTTGGTGGCTTGCTGTGAGCTTTTCTGTTGTCCAAACCAACCTTAGGACAGGTGTGGCTTCGCCTTTCTGGAACAGGTGGAGACAGAAGCTCCAGAGGCCAGTGACCAGCACACTGTCTCTGTCACAAACAGACTACAGGGTGGAGCCCTGCTGCCGGCTTGGGTTCTGGCTTCTGGACTGCTGATTGCTGACTGCCCTGGACATGCGGCAGTTTCCAATGCAGACCCCCCCCCCCCTTTTGTTTTTTTTTTTTGTGCCATGTGGCTGGTCCCATGCCTGGGAATGAGCAGGCCTCCTGTGATTTTGGACAAGCCCCTTCCCTGGGCAGGGGCTCAGTTTTCTCATCTGTGAAATGAGACCTGGGCCTCCAGCATGTCTGCACGAGGTGCCAGGCTGAGTGGCACAGCACCCTCCACCTGGGTTTTACATTGACCGAACACCAAACCAGGAGACAGGAAAATAGGCCTGTGCTTTGAAAAAGCCGTTAGGACCTTGGTTTTTGGGTGGGATTTTTTTTTTTTCTGAGACGTGTGCAATCAGATTTCTCAAAACAGGAACCAGGACTGACTGTTAGCTGGGGGCTGTCCGAGGAGCAGAGTCGGTTAGAATGAAAAGAGTTCAGAAATGACAGCCACGAGAGAGGAAATGCGGGCAGCACCTTGAGGGCTCCCAAGGGCTCTTTTTCAGAGGCTTTGAGACCCTCCCACAGACAGGCACTTTGCAAAGTGTGAGGTGGAGCGCTTTCTGGAACTCTCTGTTTGGGTAATCCCGCCCCAGAATGCCTTGCTCGCTTGGGGCCCCGCCTTGGTCTCTCTGCAGGTGTGGAAGGAGCCCGCATCGCTTCCTGTCTCCTTTGCCGCCTGGGCTAGTGATGGCAGCACAGAGAGGAATTAGGATGGAAATGATAAGTCCTTGTGGCTGATTTTGACATCTGTCATCTCAGTTGGTCCAAAAAAAACAACCTGGAAAGTTGGCACATTCCTGCCTCACGTGGAGTAGTCACTCAAGGAACCCCACAGGGCTGTGTTCTGGTTCACTGGCTCCTGAGTGGGCAGTGGGCGTTAGGGGAGCAGCTGGAGGTGAGAGCCAGGTGTTGTGACTTCTTAACGTGGGGTCACTTTCTGGCAGCAGGATGTTGGAAGCCCTAGTCTGCGTGGCAGGGCACCAGCACCTGGGGAGGGGCTGCAGCCCAGTGCCACCGACCTGGATGCCATCCTGGAAGTCCAGGCCTTCCGTGGGCTAACCCTTGAGCCAGTGGTCGCATGCTGGCCGGCCCGCTCTCCTGCCCAGCACGTCCCAGTTTGCAGAGTGCTTTGACTCCCTTTCAGCAGGTGTTCCCCCCCCCCCCCGGTTGAATAGTTGAAGAAGCTGAGGCTAAGAGGAGGAGAGATTTGGTCACGGAGAAGAGCTGGGATTAGAACCCACATCTCTGGACTCCTGGGTCGTGTTCCTTTCCTCCACCCTAACCCTGAACTCCTCTGCACTCATCCCCATCTGCACTTTGTGGTCTGGGTCACCAGGTACCCCAGTCCCAAGAGCTGTGGGTTGAGGCAGGGGCCTGGGAGCAGTACGCAGCCCCCAGGATGTCAGTTGGCATCGTTTGTGCCGAGCGGCCCTGGTGGCCAACGCACTGAGGAGGTAGTCTTGCACATGGGGCCCCCCTCTCTAGAGTCGGGGGAAGGCCATTACTCTTTTTGTTTGGACTTCTTCATGCCCTGAGGTGGTCCATCTTGGCAGCCCCGCCCTCTATGGCTGGCATCCCTTTGTGACTTGGCTGAGCCCTGAGTCTGGCTTCATGGCTCTCAGGCCTGGGGGGTGGGAACTTGGTGGGCATGGTGCCACTTGGGGTTGGCACAGAGGCCTGCCCTTCTGTCACCCTGTAGAAGCCAAGGATAGGAACCCGCTTCTCAACTCTCTTGTCAAAGGAGATGTAGTCGAGAAGTGGGGATCCCTGGGGTTATCAGCCCCTGCCTCAGTTTCTCCTCTGAAATGAGAGGAAGCTGCTCCTCTTGTGGACCTCTCTGCCTGGCTCTCCCTTTTTCTGGCAGTAATTAACATCATTTACTTAATCTGGCCTCTGAGGCCTCTGCAATTGCCCGCTGGGCTCCTGGCAAGGAACCGAGGTGCCCCAGGAGTGCTCTGTCCTCCTGGGACGGTGGCAGTGGTGGCGGCAGTGGTTGTCTCAGCAGGCCCTTGAGGCCTGAGATTCTTGTTTCCTGGTCCCTCCCCCACCATGCCTCTCCCCCTTCCTGTGGCTCAGACCCTGCTCTTCCTCTTCCTCGACACAGCATCTTCGTTCCTGTTAACCCTTTGCATCCAGCACTTCCTGCCCTTGGCTTGAGGCCCTGGGGGGTGCAGGGCACAGGAGCCAGCTTCTTCACTTCCCTCTCATCACAGCTGAACCTCCTGCCGGCTGTGGCCTCCTTCCCTCCCTAGAACTTTCCACTCCGGTAGCAGTGTGGGCTTTCTCCCTCCCAGCCCCGAAAACCCCATTATCTCCGTCCCTAGTCACTCCCTCGGGCTGCCGCTGCCGCACCCCGGGAATGGGTCTCTGGGCTGCCTTTCCCCATCTGCTCGCCCTTCCGCAGCTCGGCAGGGTGTAGCTGTGCCATTAAGCTGCCCGCCCGCTGTTCCCTTGCCTAATGGATTCAGAGGGAGCAGAGCGAAGCAGCCAGGCAGAATCCGTGCTGCAAGGGAAGCTGGGCTCCGCAGCCGGAGTAATGCATCCTGTTCATGCAGATTGTGCTGTAGTAAGTCCCCAGTGACGTCAGGTACCCTCCGCAGGCAGCGCCCCGAACCCACCACCCTGAGGGGCCACTCCCTCGGTGCTGCCCACTGCAGCGGCCGAGGCCAAGGCCAGGGTGCATGATGGGCACTGCAGCCAACTTCCGTGCCCTGCCCCCTCTGCAGGGGCCCCTCACCGTCCCTTCGGGCCTGGAGGTCGCTGTCCTTTCCTGGTCACGTACACACACTCAGGCTCATGCCCATCTGGTTTTAATGTTTGTGCAGATTTTGTTGTTGTTGTTGTTGTTGTTGTTTTTAAGAAAACAGAGCTGCTGAAAGCGAGGTGCGTTGTGTTTTGAAGAAAACAAGGCCATTCTCCGCATCGCTGCTTCCCGCCAGGCTGGCATCTGTGCTGCCCAGGAGCCACTGGGCTCAGGAGGGTTCTGGTGTTTGCATGAGAGCAGCCCTGCTCTGCCAGGGGGTTCTTTGACGCTGGGGGTCATCCTAATGGGGGGACAGACTTGTACCCCCCCCTTGAACCTGCAGGCTGGGAGCTCTGGCTCCCACAGTGGCTGTCTCAGGTGTGGGGGGGGTGCTGGGGGCATGTGTTCAGCATGTGCCAACACGTGACAGGACAGCCATGTGCCTCTTTCCCTGAGCCCCCAGCCCGAGAGCCACCACCCACCACCCAGACATGGCCCTCAGGGTCTGGCTGCCTCACACAGGAGGGGGTCCCATTCTCCCTCCCACCCCTCCTTTACTGGAGTTGGTGGTTTGGGTCTGTCTTTCCTGTCAGTATCGGCCCCGTCCTTGAGCTCAGAGGACAGTGTCAGCCCCAGGGAGAGTCATTGAGAAATATTAATAAGAGGCCCCAGGGGACTTCCTCCTGCTACTGCCACCTCAGTGCCAGGTTTCCTGGAAATGCCACAGACAAGAGCGTAGCTGAGACCGCAGCTCTACTGTGCTCTGTTAACCTCCGCCTCCCAGCACATGCTGGGCCCCCCTCGCACTGTCCCAGAGTGTAGCAACCGAAAGGTTGATGGTTTGAACCCACCAGCCCCTCACAGCAGAGTTGTGAGGCAGTCTCCTCTAGTTGACAGTACAGCCTTGGAAACCTGGGGCCGTTCTTACACAGGGGTGCGCCGAGCTGGAATTGAGGTGACAGTGTGGGTTAGCTTAGGGGTTCCACAGGAATAGGAACCATGGTCCCCGGCCGGCAGGGTGTTTTCTCCTGGGCTCCTAGGCCACTGGCAAGACTAAGCCTGAGTCCGGAATCCCCTGAGACTCCTGTACCCCCTTTTCTTCACCCTCAGCTCATCCCTGGAAGTTAGCTGGTTCAGTGACATTCTCATGGCCACTGACCCACACTGGGCAGGTGGCCCTCATGTCCTACCTTCTGAATGGTTGTCTGTCTGCCTCTCGGGCCCTGAGCTGAGTGAGGTTGTGTGTATGAGTCGGTGCATTGCTCTACAGAGCGCGTCCAGACCATTTTCCTCCAAACCAGGTGATTCCAGAAGTTCTCTCCCTTGGCACTCCCACCCTCCCTGTCCTCCTCCTGTCCTGTGACCTTAGTCCTGGCACCCGGGCCACACACAGTGCTGGGCCCCCCCCCCAGGGAGACGCTCACTCCTTCATCTCTGCCAGGGGGCCTTCGGTACCTGGCAGGCTGTGGACAGGCTCCCAACTGCTGGCACTAGTGCCTCACCTCGGAACTGGGCTCAGTGAGTGTGGTGGATCAGACCTGATCAGGGCTGGGCCTCAGGCTCCATCCCAGAAAAGGGACTCATGTGAAGCTTGACTTTAGAGCTTTCTAGAAAGGCCGGTGCACCCATTGGCAAGCTGCAGGGTCCCTGTCAGGACGCTCCCTGCAGGAGGTGGGTGCCCACTGGGACCTCAGGAGAGAGTTCCCCTTCTGCTGGGGACGTTCCAGCTTCCTCAGCGGCCAGTGTGTTTGGGTCACCTCAGCAATTTGTCAACATCCTCATTTTGGAAATGGGGAAACCAGACATTTAAAGTTGGTGGCGTCCCATAGAGGGGGCTGGGCCTGGACACCTGCTGACTGCAAGGAGAGGGGGTGCTTCCCAGCGTGCTGGGGCCTCAGAGGGCGCTGCTGGGAATATTCTGGCACTTGTGTCTCTTAAAATTCCAGAATGATCTTGGGAAGCATGTCCTCCCAGTAAGCTTTGGCCCCCCTGGGGCGGGAACTGTGGTCTCTGGTCTTCTATGGCCACTGAGATGCTGCCTGTATGGGGGATGGGAAGAGCAGGGTGAGGGAAGAAGGTGACCCAGCGAGTGACCTCCTGATCTGCCAGCTCCCTCAGCCACCAGCTCCCTGGGGAAAGAACAGGAAACCCCCACATTGCCACTTTGGGGGCCTCCCATTCAAGGACTTCACTCAGGCTTGACCTCATGTTTGCTTTGGGGCGCGGAGTGTTTGTTTTACAAGGAATATTTTTTTTTTCTTCCTTTTTAAGGCAGAGAGTGCAGTGCTGGGGATAGGGAGGAGGGCTGGCTTCTCAGGGCCCTGCATCTCACTGTTTCCCCAGGAAGCAAGCTGGCTGCTTTGGGGACAGGCTCTCTGGGAATGTTTGGGAACTTCTCCCCTGCAGAGCACCCAGCCCTGGCAGGGCTGCTGGGCCGTGTGATGATCAGGGGCCGGGGGTCTGGAGCCACCCAGCCCTCACAGGGCAGGCACAGGTTTTGCTGTGGGGAGTCGGGGTGCATATACCTAGGCGCCTGAGGCTTTGTCCGCCACCTGCGTCTCCCGGCCGCGTTTTAGACAGAGAAGTTTCCCAGGAGGTTGATGTGATATTTTCTTTATTTCCTGCCATTTTTCAGTCATAATTGTCCCTGCCCATATTACACACAGCTTAGATCCAGCCCAGGGCCACCTCTCGGGGTCTCTGACCCAACCTGCTGTCTGGTGTCCAGCAGGAGCCAACAAGCCTTTGTGGCCCGGGCCTGCTCACTGGCCCACCAGCCCAATTCTGCTGTCCTGGTTCCTCACAGTTTCCACTGTGGAGGAAGGCGCTCAGGCCAGGCCTTCGGAGCCCTGGGCCAGCGTGAAGCCCAGGACTGTCCTGGGGCCATCTCCGACCATCTCACCACATTCCCACTACGTGAGGTATTGTGGGATGCAGCCCCTTAAACAGGCATTCTCCTCGGTCCCATGTCTCAGCATGTCCCAGGAGGCCTGGCTGGTGGACACTGGCTTCAGCAGGGAAGGGTGGCTTTTCAGAGGGTGCCCTTGATGTCCCAGAGGCACCAGTCTGTTGTGGCCGTGCTGTGACACCTGGGCCCCAGCTGCTGGGTCACTCTCCAGGGGGCAGGGTCTGGCTGTGTCTGGTGGGCGTCCAAGGCTTGCTGGGGCCTGCCTTTGTCATCAGTAGTCTCACTTCCTGCTGGACCCAGCTCTCCAAGGAGGTCACGTCATCAGAGCCTCTGGTGGGGGCAGTGGCAGGGCCATTTGAGGGCTGTACTGACGACAGCTGTGCTTGCAGTCATGGTAGCCGTGTGGCCTTTCTGAGAAGGGCTCGGATCTGAACCAGGGCCTGCGGGGTCAGGGGCTGTGGGGCCTGGGGTCTGGGAGTCAGGGCCTAGGGGTCGGGGCCTGGGGTGGATTCCACCTCATACCTTCTTAGAAGGAAAGTGGTGAGCAGAAGAGCAGCCCACCCCACTCGCTATAGCTCAAGGCCCCTTTCTTACCATTGAGCCGCTGTCCTCCCAGATGCCTGGCCCCAAGGCTCTAGACCACATTCCCCATGCAGCTCTGCCCACTTCCTAGTCAGTCTGCATGCATGACCCTCACCCTCCGTCCAGACCTGGGCCCTCAGTCCACCCGCTTCCCTCCTGTGGAGACCACCCACTCACCTCCCAGCTCAGCATCCCCTCGGACATCTCTCTGGCTTGTCCTTGGTGGGCCGCCCCGGTCCACCACCTGCCCACAGCTCCATCTCTCTGAACCGCAGGAACAGCTGATTTGTCACACCTCATCGGCCATCATAGGTCCTGGAAGGGCCTGCTTGGGCATGGGAACATCTTTACAGGACAGCCTGAGCTGGGGCCCTGGCACTGACCAGCTCAGGAGGCGAGCATAGGAGTATGGAGAGACAGGGCTGTGGACAGACTAGGGTGTGGCTGCTCACTGGCCTTTCTTGGGGACCTGCTGCTGACCTGACATATGGGCCCTTGATTTAGACAGCTGTGCACCTCACTCGAGGGCCAGATGTGTGTGTTCACAGCTGTCAGGGACCTCTGAGGCTCTGTGGTCGGCCAGGTGACAAAAATGGGGGCAGGGTACTTGGGTATCAGCAGTTATTTGGCAAGTCAGGCCTCTGCTGTGCCCCCACTACGACCAGGAGCACGTGTGATTAAGTGACCGTGCTGCACATGATATGTATTGGCTATTGATCTGAAGGTTGATGGTTCAAACTCACAGAATGCCTGACAATCTGATTCCAAGAGAATCTCACAGTGCGGCTCTGCCCTGTACCGCATGGGGTCACTGCATGGGGTCACCGTGGCTCACAATCACCGTGACAGCGATGGCTATTACGGTGAAAGGAGGGGAGGCTACCTTTCCTCCCATTAAAAAAAAAAACACCACTTGGGATTCAGTGGTTTTGGTGTAGTCGTTGTGATCCCTGTCATAACTGATGCCATGTGGTTTCCACACATTGCCACCCCCCTGGAAGATTCTGGAAGCTTCCTGTAAGTGCGATGGTACAACGTGTGGCCTCTAGCGACTGGCCACCTTCACGCTGCAGCATGTCTTTGAGCTTCCCTCATGTCGTGGCGTGTGCCGATGACTCCTTCCCTTTTATGGCTGCGGAACACTCCGTCGTACAGGTGGACCACCCTGTGTTTACGCACCACCAGTGGACTGGCCCTGGGGAATTGACCAAGCTCCCAAAGCCGGCACGTGGCAGCGCCAGGACCAGACTGGGAACAGTGGGCTTCTGGGGACCTAGGCCCAGTCCTCCTGATCTGGGCAGGCTTGGCACTCAGCACCTTGCAGACCCCTCCAGGCCTCAGCTCTGGTGCAGTGCCAGGCAGCTGTGGCCAGCCAGAGCGAGGCCGCATCTTTGTGGGCACAGGGGCTTCTGGCTCCCAGTCACCGTGTCCTCTCTTGCAGCATCCGCAGTGTCATGCAGAAGTACCTGGAGGACCGAGGCGAGGTGGCCTTTGAAAAGATCTTCTCCCAGAAGCTAGGTGAGTGTGGAGGGCGGCCAGTGCACACCCCACCTCCAGCTGCCAGACCCCAAGCACGAGCTGTGGCCATCTTGGCCTGGGCTCTGCTGGCCCCGGCCGTGACCTCGCACCTCCTGCCCCTGGCTGTAGACCCTGGAAGCCCTGTGCCGGGGTGTGGCCTTGCTTTCCTCCAGGCTGAGGGGGGAAGTTCCTCCTTCGGGGTTTTGTTTTTGAGAGCTGCAGCTTCCCCTTGGCGAGGCCACAGCTGCTCCGGCTGTTGGTGGAACTGACAGGAAGGGGCGGGGTCCTTCCTGTGGCGCCTGCTGGCCCGAGCTGTGGTCGCGGGGTCCTGCCCTGGTCCTGCCCTCCATTCTCCTCCTGATGCCGCTGTCTTAACTGTGTCCTTCGTCCGCCCATGCCGTGGACTCAGCCCACAGGACGGGGCTGACGGGCCCTGCTCACACCCAGCTCTGAACTAACCTTCCTGAGAAGCAGGATCTGGCCTGATCTGGGGTTCAGGCTCTGAGGTTGACTTGAGGAGCCCCTGTGCCCGAGTAGGGAACAGTCTGGGTCCTGAGTATATAGGGTGTATGACCTTGGGCAAATCCCCTTCTCATATGTTAAAAAGACCTCACTGGGAGGCTTGAGCGAGGGCTATTGTGAGAGCGCCTTGTTCCCAGAGAACCCCATGCACAGTGTACTGAAGGTGACCCTGTCGGAGGCAGGAAGTACAGGGCAGTGCCCGGGAGGTACAGAAGGTCACCCAGCTGCCCTCAGCTCTGCTCACCCTCTAGCATGCTGTCTCCCTGGGAGGAGCTGCAGCTTTGGGTGACCCACCCCTCTGCTCTCAGGGTACCTGTTGTTCCGAGACTTCTGTCTGAACCACCTGGAGGAGGCCAAGCCCCTGGTGGAGTTCTATGAGGAGGTGAGGAACATGCGCTGAGCAGGTTGTGGGACAAGGGATTTGAACCAGGTGGACGGTCAGGATAGGAGCCCTCACTGTGGGCTGGGAGGGGATGCCCCACACCGAGCGGGCTGTGGGGTACACTGTCAGGATGGGAGCCCTCGCTGTGGGGTGGGCAGGGACACCTTACACTGCGCGGGCTGTGGGGTGCACCGTCAGGCCATGGGGTACACCGTCAGGCCGTGGGGTACACCGTCAGGCCGTGGGGTACACCGTCAGGCCGTGGGGTACACTGTCAGGCCGTGGGGTACACCGTCAGGATGGGAGCCCTCACTGTGGGGTGGGAGGGGATGCCCCACACTGAACGGGATGTGGGGTAAGGGCCCACACTGGGTGGACCGTCAAAATGGGGGCCTGTGCTGGAGGGTCAGAGGGGGCTGCCTGAGACCACTTGGAACCGTGTTCCCTAGATCAAAAAATATGAGAAACTGGAGACGGAGGAGGAGCGCCTGGCTCGGAGCAGGGAGATCTTCGACGCCTACATCATGAAGGAGCTGCTGGCCTGCTCACACGTGAGTCTCTGGAGCCAGTTCCGAGGGTGGACCCAGTTTGGCTCCGGCTGGCAAGGGAAGACAGGACCCAGTGGAGAACTCACAGCTGTCTGTCTTCCCCAGCCCTTCTCGAAAAGTGCCACTGAGCATGTTCAGAGCCACCTTGTGAAGAAGCAGGTGCCCCCAGACCTCTTCCAGGTAAGTGCTGCATGGGTCTCCCTCTGCTTTTGCCTGCTTCCAACTGCCCTGTGCCCAGTGAGGGCCCCTGGGGTGCAGCCTCAGGCCAGGGGGCCTGACTACATGCCAGGGCTCTGCAACTAGCTTTCTCCCCCAGCCCTACATCGAGGAGATTTGTCAGAATCTACGAGGCGATGTGTTCCAGAAATTCATCGAGAGGTGAGTGCTGGAGTCAGTATAGAGGTGGAGTAGGGGTGCTCAGGTGTCGGGTAATAGGGTGTCTGGGCTCTGGTGCAGGTGGTATATGGGTCCCAGGGTGGGTGCTGTCTGGGCTGTGTTGTATGTGGATTGTGGGCCCTGGGGTAGGAGGTATCTGTCCCTGGGGTAGGTGCACCTGGTCCCCAGTACATGGATGGACTCCTAGGAGATCAGGAGACGACTCCTCAGGTCCTGAGCCCCTGTGTATCATCTCCCCCACAGGAACAGTCTCACTGGCCCCAAATGGGGTCAGAAGCTTCAGGGCTGAAGTGGGGTGGACTCAGGAGCACAGTGCCCCTTGGGACCTTGGGCTTCAGATGAGAGCTGAGGGAGATTTCAGTCTAATGGAAGAGTGGCCCGCTTTGGGCCAGAGCCGCCTTGCCACAGAGCCTTCACAGGGAGTGGGACTGCAGTGACTGCAGGCTAGTGGGAGGAGCGTGAAGGCACCTGTCAAGGCACAGGAGTCGAAGCTCCGGGCCGCACTGCACAGGCTGCTCTCTAACATCTGCCCTCAGCAGGAACTAAAACAAAAGGTGACAGAACCTGAGCGATGTGGCAGGTGTGCTGCTCCGTGAGCATAGCCCCCAGGCTGTCCCAGAGCTGGGAGCGTATGTCCCTTTGTGGATACAGAAACATGGGTTTGACTGTTGCCACGTTTGTCCTTGGTCGGACCAGAGGCTGTGGTACTGGGAGTCAGGCTCATGGCCAGCTCGTCTGCCCCCTCCAGGTTCATCAGAGCTGTCACTCTCTCTTACAGCGATAAATTCACACGGTTTTGTCAGTGGAAGAACGTGGAGCTGAACATTCACGTGAGTGTTGCGGTGGGCGGAGCCGGCACCAGCTGGCCACGGTCCCCAGGGATGGCCCCAGAGGACCTGCTGAGCTAGGGGGAACCCCTGGGATAGGCCTCTACTTCCTGGGTGCCTTTGCTCTGAGGCTGGACCCAGGCAGGTTTCAGGGACTCCTGGAGGTCACCCACTCTTTCACTCCCTGCAGTTAACCATGAATGACTTCAGTGTCCATCGCATCATTGGGCGAGGCGGCTTCGGTGAGGTCTATGGGTGCCGGAAGGCTGACACGGGAAAGATGTGAGTGTTCTGCTCACCCGGTGCCGTTTGAGGGGGTGGCTGGAACAGGGGCCCCGAGGGCAGAGGCATCCTGTGAGACGAGCTTTGAGGGGATCAGTACACTGAGGCTGAGTCAGGTGATGCAGCCACGTCTCAGATGGACCAGTTGTGTCTCCTGCACACGGTGCCCGCCTTGTTCCCTCCATTTCTCCACAGTGTTTCCAACACCGTTCCCTGTGCTGCTCCTTGCATTGCTCCTAAGGGGTTCCCTGGGCTCTTTACACTCTTCCTTAATACTTGCTGTTTCCTGTGCTTCCCCTACACTGCTCTCAACAATGCCCTTTATACTGTTCCCTACACTGTTCCCTGCACTTCCCTGTGCTGTTCCCTACACTGTCTCTACACAGTTCCTATGCTGCTCTGTTTCCTGTGCTGTTCCCTGCACCGTCCTGTGTTGTTCCCTACACTGTTCCCTATACTTCCTGTGCTATTCCCTACACTGTTCCTATGCTGTTCCCTATACTGTCCCTACACTGTTCCCTAAACTTTTCCTGTGCTGTTCCCTATACTGTTCCTACACTGTTCTCTATACTGTCCTTACACTGTTCCTATGCTGCTCTCTGTTTCCTGTGTTGTTCCTTACGCTGTTCCCTACACTGTCCCTTTGCTTCTCTGTATAGTGTTTCCTGTGCTGTTCCCTACACTATCCCCATGCTGTTCCCTACACTGTCCCTGTGCTGCTCTCTATAATGTTTCCTGTGCTGTTCCCTCTTGCCACTATCTTCCTTCTTCCTCCCTCCCACCTCTGCTTTGCTGCAGCATCCTTTCTCCACCCTACTTCCACCCCCATGGCCTCCTTAGATCCCCTAGTGCCCCTGAATTGATGTATGACACACACTTGTGGTGGAGTCTGGCTCTGCAGCAGTCGACCGTGTTGCCTGCTGCCCACAGGTATGCCATGAAGTGTCTGGACAAGAAGCGCATCAAAATGAAGCAGGGGGAGACGCTGGCCCTCAATGAGCGGATCATGCTGTCCCTCGTCAGCACTGGGGTGAGTGGATGGTGCTGGGCAGGGCTGGGGGCGGGCAGGCTCCACCAGAGCCCACTGTGCTCACCCCTCCCCTCCTAGGACTGCCCCTTCATCGTGTGCATGTCGTATGCATTCCACACGCCGGACAAGCTCAGCTTCATTCTCGATCTCATGAACGGTGAGTGACCCTTGCGGTAGCCCAGCCCCAGGTGGACCCAGGGAGGGGACAGGGCTGGGAGCTGAGCACTGCCCCCCCTCAGGCGGGGACCTGCATTACCACCTGTCCCAGCACGGGGTCTTTTCTGAGGCCGACATGCGCTTCTACGCTGCTGAAATCATCCTGGGTCTGGAGCACATGCACAACTGCTTCGTGGTCTACCGAGACCTGAAGGTGGGTGCTGCCCGCCCCGCCCCTGTGCCCACCCCACCCAGCGAGCACACCCACGTGTGTGCCCAGTCCTGCCCAAATGCCCGCCCCACTCAGCATGCCCACCCCACCCAGTGTGCCCAGCTATGTCCACCTGGCCTGCCCAGTGTGCCCACCCTGTCCATATGCGTGCCCCAGCCAGCATGCTCTGCCCACTCATATGCCCTTCCTGCCCGGTGCTTGCCCCAGCCACACGTCCTTCTTGCCCAGTGCACAGTCCCACCCTCGTGCCCTTGCCCGTGTGGCCCCGCCTACATGCCCCCTGCCCTGGGTCCTGCCCACGTGCCAGCCCTACCCAGTACCCAGCCACTCTCCCAGGCCCAAGGCACCTTATTCAGGCAGTGGCCAGCCGTCTGCCCACCTCTCTATTCTGCCCTCCTCCTCCAAGCCACTTGCTGGGTCCAGGTTGGAAGTGGGGAAAGTGGAGGCCCCACCCCAAGCCTGGCGCCCGGCCACCCCTAATCCTCTGCAGTGAAGATGGTGGCCTGGCTGGTGCTGACCGGCCAGGGCTTCATCGTGTGCTCTCTGGGCTGCACCTCATGGGCTCTCTCCACAGCCAGCCAATATCCTCCTGGATGAACATGGCCACGTGCGCATCTCCGACCTGGGCCTGGCCTGTGACTTCTCCAAGAAGAAGCCCCACGCCAGCGTGTGAGCACAGTTCCCTGCTCAGCCCCCATGCCCCCCTGGGGTCCCCAGCCAAGGCGTTTACACCTCCTCATTTCACAGGGGCACGCACGGGTACATGGCCCCCGAGGTCCTGCAGAAGGGTGTGGCCTACGACAGCAGCGCCGACTGGTTCTCCCTGGGCTGCATGCTGTTCAAGCTTCTCCGGGGGTGAGTGGGCCCCGGGTGAGGGTGGCAGGGGCGCCCTCCTCTGTCCTTGATGTTGGAGCTCTGGTCATGCTGCCTGCCTCAGCGTCCCCATTCTTCCCTGACTGTGGGTTCTTGTCTCTTGCAGGCACAGTCCCTTCCGGCAGCACAAGACCAAAGACAAGCATGAGATTGACCGCATGACCTTGACGATGGTAAGTGTGGCTTCTCTGTGCAGGGGCCACACTGGGGTGAGGTTACAGGCTTTTGGTTCTCGACACGCCCAGTGAGCTCTGGGGTGGTTGTGTCCACTCTGACTTCAGAGGGACTGAGCCCCTGCCGCCCACACTCACTCGTGACGTCATTGGAGCAAACGATGTGGGGCATCAGGCTTCAGGGGATGTGGAGCCCCTGGACAGCCTGGGCTCCCCAACTGCCACCCCTCCCGCTGCTCTCCCTCCAGGCTGTGGAGCTGCCCGACTCCTTCTCCCCCGAACTCCGTTCCTTGCTGGAGGGGCTGCTGCAGCGGGATGTCAATCGGAGGCTAGGCTGTCTGGGCCGAGGGTGAGTGCCAGGCCTACCTCAGCTGCACGCAGGCCACTGCAGGCCTCGGCCCTGTGAGGACAGTGGCCATCCCCTCAGTACCCTCTGGGGGCCTAGCCCACCCGGTATGCTCAGGGTCGAGGGGCAGCCCAGGGAGGGACCTACTCAAGCCAGTTGGTAGTTTATAGCCGTGGACAGTGATGGTGCCAACATAGTGATGGCAGTAGCCTTTTGTGCCGAAGGAGCATTAATTAAACACTGGGCACTGTGTTGGATCCCTGGTGTCGGGATGTGTTGGGCTGTTACTGAAAGATTAGAAGTTCAAGTCCACTAGCCATTCCGCTAGAGAAGCAGTCCCCTCCTGTAACAGATGTCCAGCCTGGGGCCTGAAGGAGGGTCACTGTGATCGGAACTGACTTCACAGCAGTGGGCGTGTCTTGGGCACTGTGCTGATAATTACAAGCAGTAAAGCTCCCATGATCTCCTGGTGGTCTCTCCACTTGGACACCAGGGAGAAGGTGCAGGCGACATGCCTGAGGTTACCCAGCCGGCGAGCTGCCAGAGCAAGATTTAGCCGTCGGCTCTGATGGTGCAGGTGTTACGGGGCCTGTCTTCTGTCTGTAGTCTGCAGTCAATTGTTCGAACCCACTAGCTTCTTTTCAGGAGAAAGGTCACTGTCAACTTCCACAAAGACAGCCTTGGACCCCCTGTGGGGAGGTTCTGTTCTGCCCTACGGGTTGCTAGGAGTCAGAACCGACTCGGCAGCACTGTGTTTGGGTTTTGGTCTATTCCGGGCCCAGACTCAGCCCAGTGATGTAGCCAGTGGCCAGCCCAGCTGACCGGCATCTCCCCACAGGGCTCAGGAAGTGAAGGAGAGCCCGTTCTTCCGCTCCCTGGACTGGCAGATGGTCTTCCTGCAGAAGGTGAGAGAGTGGACCAGGCCCAGGAGGGCAGCCTGCTGCCCTTCCCAGCCTCACGCTGACTCCTCTTCCCCCCCAGTACCCTCCCCCTCTCATCCCCCCTCGTGGAGAAGTGAACGCGGCCGATGCTTTCGACATTGGCTCCTTTGATGAAGAGGACACAAAGGGCATTAAGGTACTGCCCCTTCTGAGCCCTGAGCCAGGCCTGTCCAACCCCTGGCCCCCAGCTCCCTACTCCCTCAGCTTCCCTGGGGCGGCTGTACCCAGGCCTGCAACTGACAGGTGTCCTGGGCCCTTCCTCTGTGTGTGTCCGTGTGTCCTTGCCCTGGCCGTCCGGCTGAAGTTACTGGACAGCGACCAGGAGCTCTACCGCAACTTCCCCCTCACCATCTCGGAGCGGTGGCAGCAGGAGGTGGCAGAGACCGTGTTCAACACCATCAACGCAGAGACAGACCGGCTGGAGGCCCGCAAAAAGGCGAAAAACAAGCAGCTGGGCCACGAGGAGGGTGAGGGCTTGTCACGGCCTTGGGGGGGCCAGAACCCTGTCCACGGGGCCGAGGACCCCCGGCCTGGACTCAGGTTCCACGGCCCAGGATGAGTCAGCTTTCACTCTGTCCCTCAGACTATGCCCTGGGCAAGGACTGCATCATGCACGGCTACATGTCCAAGATGGGCAACCCTTTCCTGACCCAGTGGCAGCGGCGGTACTTCTACCTGTTCCCCAACCGGCTGGAGTGGCGGGGTGAAGGCGAGGCCCCAGTAAGGACTGGAAGAGCTCAGGGACGGGGGCTTGGGGCCGATAGGGCGTGGGGCGGGTGCCGCCCAGGGACGGGGTGTTCAGGGGGGAAGGTGACCCTGGCTCCGCCCTCACCACACCACCGTGCCCTGCAGCAGAGCCTGCTGACCATGGAGGAGATCCAGTCCGTGGAGGAGACCCAGATCAAGGAGCGCAAATGCCTGCTCCTCAAAATCCGTGGCGGGAAGCAGTTCGTCCTGCAGTGCGACGTAAGTGTCCCTGGCGGGGGCCGGGAGACAGGTGCGGGCCGGGCACCGTGGCTGACAGCCTGTCTCGGCCGCGCAGAGCGACCCGGAGCTGGTGCAGTGGAAGAAGGAGCTCCGTGACGCCTACCGCGAGGCCCAGCAGCTGGTGCAGCGGGTGCCCAAGATGAAGAACAAGCCGCGCTCGCCCGTGGTGGAGCTGAGCAAGGTGCCGCTGATCCAGCGTGGCAGTGCCAACGGCCTCTGACCGCCTGCCCACCCGCCTGCCTTTTATAAACCTCTAATTTATTTTGTTGAATTTTTATTATTTGTTTTCCCGCAAAGCGGAAAAAGGTTTTATTTTGTAATTATTGTGATTCTCCTGTGGCCCCAGCCTGGCCCAGCCCCCCGGGAGGGGCCCCGCTTGCCTCGGCTCCTGCTGCCACTCACCCAGACGTCCGCAGTCCCGACCCCTGCAGGGTCACCTGCTTCCAGTGTCTTCCTGTGGGGAGAGGGCAGTGGTCCTAGGTAGCCCTTTGCTGGCGGACCAGGCTCTGGGCATGTTAGCTAGACCCAGCCAGGGAACACTGCTGACCCCTCCCAAGAAGCCCCTTAAGGCCACCTTTGGGTGACCCTGAAGGTGGAGCCCAAGCTGTCTTGCACGCCGCCCAGCAGGAGAGAGGAAGAGGCCTGTCTCCCTGGGCCCCAGGACCACTGCCTATGATGTGGGTTCCATGGCCCTTATTGGGAAAAGCTTCTGTGTCCCTGGCCCCTGACATTCCCACCTCCCAGACATTGTGGGCCTCGACCAGGTGGTGGCACACCAGCAGGTGCTACCACCTTCCCTGCAGGCTGGGCTCAGGGACCACAGAAGGACCACTGCGGAATGTGCCACACCAGCCTGGCCAGCCCGAGGGCTGGGCCGGGGCCTCGCCTGCTCAGATGCTGGGCCAGCCTGGGGTCAGGCAGCTGTAGCCAGAGGGCACTGTGGGATTGGCCCTTCCCCCACTGTCTGCGTGCCCCCACTTGGGCTGTCCATTCCTGGCCCTGTGTCCGTCAGTGCCACTGCCCGCAGCGTGCCACCTCGCCGCATGCCCCCTTGTGCCAGTCGCGCTACTGTGTGTGGTGCCGCCTCCCCTGGGGCTGGGGCGGCGCGCCCTCCCCCCTCCTCACTCCCCGGTGTGTTTCTTTGCCGATTTTTGAATGTGATTTTAAAGAGTGGAAAATGAGACTATGCGTTTTTATAAAAAATGGTGCCTGACTCCTTGGCTCATCTGCCTCTTATTGGGGCCGGGACCTGCTCTCAGCCCTCCACTGGACTGGGGCTGAAGGGGATGGGAGCCTGTGACAGGCCAGTCTGTCCCAGCCAGGCCTCCCCGGGGCAGGTCCTTCTCTCCGTGTGTCTGTCCAGCAGCCTCTGTAAGATGGGTAGTCAAGGAGGAGTGGGAGTGCCCAGCCCTCCTCCCACAGAAGCCTGAGGTGCCAACAGCCTTTTCCTGGAGATGGTGGGGCTAAGAGCACCCCTGTGCCAGGCACTGTGCTGAGGGGCGTAACGTTGCCCCTGCAGGCTGCACCACTGCCTTCCAACTTTCCTTCTTTGCACCTGTCAGCCCGTGAGGCCTGGGGTGATCCCCTAGCACCCGGCTCATCTTGAGGTTTCTATCCACTCCCCTTTCTGTATGCCCGTGCCCTAAAACCTGCCCCCGCCCCCGGCAATGGGTGGCTGAGCAAGGCTGGGGGGACTGTGACCAAGCACAGCTGACCTGAGCTGCAGTGGGTGGGACCGTACAGTTAAGAGGCTCTGGCTAGCTGGAGTCCTGTGGAAGGAGTCATCATGCAGCCCCCAGTGCTGAGCCAAGCAGGTGGATGAGGGATCTGACCTCTATTTCTTTAATTTTTTTTTTTTTTTTGCTTGGGTGAAGGTCCTGATCTCCATCTGACAGGCTCTGGGTTGGCGGCCACAAAGGCCTGAAATGGACTGGGTGGTGAGAGCTGGGGTAAAGCAAGTCGCTGGCTGTGTAGCGTGTGGGAGGTGGACTGGGGACCTGAAGGTGTAGATGGGGGAAGGCAGAGAGGCTAGGTCCCCAGGACATGGGGAAGAGTGGTGGGAGCCCAGGGTGACCTTTAGGGTTGGAGCCAAGTGACAGGGTCCATGGAAGCAGAACAGCCAGGAAATGAAGAGGATGTGAGGGGACAGGGCAGGTGTGGCTGGATTTGATTCAGGACCTAGTGAGTGGGGGGGGGGGGTGTCAGTTGGACACCTGTACAGATGACACCTGGAGGTGATACCAGGTTGATGAGGAGGCAGGCTGCCCAGAAGGAAGAAGGGGTCCTGGGAGGGAGTCGGGTTTGGGGAAGGTGAGAAAGCTGGAGGGTGGGGGAGCAATGGGCGGTGGGACTGGACTGTGAGGTCTATGAGCTTCTGCAAAGGGCATCACCATGACCTGATAACACCAGGTGGGGGAGGGGAGGGGGAGGGGGAAGCGGTGACCTCAGGTGGCATGTAGCCACTTGACCACAATGAGGATGCTGCCAGGACCCTTCTAGCCCAGAGACTTAGAAAGGAGCCAGAGTTTGGTCAAGGGATGACCTCAGGGCACAGCCTAGGGTCCTCTCGGTAGATTGTCCTAGATCACACTATGCGATCATTACAGACGGGGAAACCGAGGCCAGAAGGGCAGCCTTGGGCAAGCTCCTCCTTGGTGCTGACTCACCACTCAAAAGAACCAGGGCCAGAGACCCCAGCTGGTCAGGGTGACCACAGCCCAGGCCGGAAGTAAGTCAAAGGAGCCTGCACTCTTCCGCTGTGGGAGGAGGCCGCCCTGATTTCGAAACCCTTCTTCCTCTGCTGACACGACACGGATGGTAAAGTGCAACCTCCACAAAGGGCTGTGAGCGGTGGGCGCCCAGGGCAGCTGTCAACGCAGACCCGCCTCCGAGAAACCGTGATGCTGGCTGGGCCTGTCCCCGACGCAGTACCCCCACCTTCGAAGGCAGCTCTGGAGCCATTGCTGCAGAAAGGTGCTCCATGCCAAGGGCGCCTGCTTGTGGGGGCATCTGCAGGGCACCCTACTTAGCGCCTCTCATGTCATTCGCAGACCACGGACAGGAGGGGAAAAAGGCGAGCGGGGCAGGAGCTCCCCGCAGCCCGAAGCCTCAGGCCCACGGCACGCACGCGCACTAGCGATGCACCTCGAGGGCAGTGAGAGGGAGAGGTGGCCCCAGCCCCCCGAGTCCCCGCCAAACTCCCCACCGAGTCCCAGCCTTTCCGTTCCCGACCCGCCAGGCAGGAGCGGGTTTGTGCAGGGTCTGGGGCGCCCCCTGCAGGCCACAGGCAGAGCTGCAGCCCGGCCCCGCCCAGAGTCAGCCTCCTGCAGGCTCCGGGGGCCGAAGGGCTTGAGGACCCCAGCCTGGCCTTTCCCCGAGAGTGCGAGACCCTGGAGGCGCGCCCCGCACACCCCAGTGTCCGGCCCCGCTGCAGCAGTTGCCATGGCAGCGGGAGGGCGGGACCACACGGTGCTTGGCTCCGCCCCACCCCGGGTGGCCACGCCTCCGCCCGTGGCCCCTCCCCGTACGTGTGGCCCCGCCCCTGGCCGCGT